AAGGGATATAATATGTCTGTCACAGAGCCAGTTAACCATGATATCAATGATTCAGAGAATGATCCTAAAACTCCCAGTGTGAAATCTCCTTGACCATTACTAGATGATGGATGCATACGATTTGGAAAAACATTCAGGTGTACTCACTGAACTCTTAACAGCTCCAGGGCTCGACCATACCAGCATTTCATAATACTGGGATTGCCCATCACTGAACAAACTTTAGATCCAGAGCCAAAATGTCACAAATCAGACCATCTGATTTGAAATATGCACACTCAAGCAACAACTGACACTCGACTGGATGTAGATGCCCACTTGATTTGACAAGCAACAACTCACCTTGGTAGTGAATATCAACACAGAGTTTGCATTCTTTACCTGAATGTCACAAAAGCATAGGTTGCCTTGTTGACTGCCTTGACTTTCTTGGGTTCCAGTTGCAGACCAGTCACATCTTCTTCAGTTGCTGTAAGAAAATATATTATAAATATAATTGAATTGCCTATTCAGCATGCAAGTCTTACCAGTTCATGGTTCCTTTTTATGGGAAAATCTTGGTACCAAACACTGACTAGTCTAGCCTCTGATCCAGACCTTTGAAATTTAATAAGTAAACAAAAAAACATACTACTAAATGTTGGGGACATTGAGATGTGCACCTTGTACTGTGTTTATTCCTTGAGGTCTAACCCTCTCACATTTGACCAAATTCAACACCTGGTTGTCCATGATATTTAGGGCCAAGATACCATGACATAATCAATTATAACTCTATAAACATGTACATGTACCGGGTATTACAATTAATTGGTTTCAACAGAACACTGAGAGAGTTTTACAGTGAAAATCAAATGTTCAAGCTCTCAACTCCAATGAAGCTTCATGAATTCTCCAAAACACACTGAACTGATAGCATATCTGTTGTACATGTACATACATGTACATCAATTAACATTGGAATCCATCATCATGATCAAAATACAAAATGTAAGTTTGTACAATACCAGGGGCTGGGATTTTTTCGGTGGATTTAGAGGGTGGTTGGGTTTAAAGAACAGCGTTGCACTATCTTGAGGAAAACACACCCCCCCCCCCCCAAAAAAAAAATTAATATAATTATACGAGCAGAAACAAAAATTGGCAATTTCATGACAATGTCAATAGTGAAACAGTGTTGAGTGTTTGGTTACACTGCTGTCAAAATACTAGACAAAATTATCCTTGAATAACTTAAAGATGAAAGGCAAAGCTGGGAGAAAATATGAAGAAGCTTTTAGTTTCGATTTCACATTGCTCAATGTCTTATATTCTCGGTTAGTATAAAACTGGAGTCATCTTGAAATGGGACAGACTACATGTACCATTTACTGCATCCGTATGGAATGTTGCAAATAGTTGTTACACTGTACACGAACTATGGGTGATGGCTACCAAAACAGCTCCACTCCATCAACTGAAGTACAAAAGCATCTTGAGAACTTTGTTAAGAGTCAAGACAGAAGTATACAAATATCATGGTTGAGTACTAAAATCGTTGCACCAATCGGCCTCCTCATCAACTTTGTCTTTCTATTCACAGTCATTCGAGTGAAGTCCATGCGTACAATCATCAACATCTACTTATCCAATCTGGCTGTGGCTGACTTGCTCCTTCTTATGACTCAATTTATATTTGCATTGCTTTCACATAAAGAGTACAGCGTCTTTGTCCAAAATGCATCCCAAGCTTTACGAGACACGTTCCTAGCTGCTTCTAACTTCTTTGTGGTTACCATAGCAGCTGAGAGATTCTCTGCAGTGCGCAATCCTCTGACATTCAAGGAAAAAGCCTCTAAATCTCGGGCAGCAAAGATATCAGCAGGACTCTGGGTGCCAACAATTATTGTTGGCGTGATTCTGATATTCTTACCAATAACACAGTACGTCTTCAATGACATCCTCTTTTGGACCTTTTCCATTATCAACCTTGTCTGTTTAATAGCAACTATTGCTTTGTACATCTACATAGTAGTGAAAGTACGAAAACAATCAGCCCTGTTCCCAAACCGTCCCAAACAATCAGGAAAGGTTCTCTGTATGGTTATCATCAATACTGCTGCTTTCTTCATTCTGAAGTCATTAAACATTGCAGCTTCAATTATTATCATTGTGGCAGGGACTTATTCTACAAATGTGCCTTCCCAGGCTGTTGAATATCTAAAACTTGGAAAAAAAATAAATATAGTGCTTATGTGCACAATGATCATGCACCTTATCAACAGCTCCATCAATTCCCTGGTCTACAGTGCCACAAATGCTGAGTATCGTGCAGCTGTAGTCGAGGCTTTCTCATTCATGAAACTGTGCTGTCGTTGCTGCCCAAGACGGATACCCAGCCGACCATTGCAGCCAGGGAAGCAGATTGAGCTTCATGTGATTCCATTGGCAGAAAATGACCAAGAGCACCATGCTGCCAGGCCAAGCAGCAGCAAGCCACCAAGCCAAGGGCATGCACAACACACAGCGAGTCAGGACAGCTGTCAAGAACAATGTTCCAGGCAAAGCAGCAGCAAGGCATCCATGCACAGTCAGCAGCATGTTCAAGTGCACGTTGAGGTACATGCAGAACCAGCAGGGACCCCAGCGCTTGCAAGTTCTCATCAGGAACAATGCTCTAGTCTGACTGACTGCAAGCCATCCATGCAAGGGGAACAGTGGGTACATCTAGAACCAGCAGAGAGCCAGCAGTCACTTGCAAGTACTCAGGAACAATGTCCTGGGCTGACTGGCACCGAGCCATCAGCACAAGGTGAGCAGTATGCACATCCAGAACCAAAAGGGAGTCAATCGTTGGAAAGATGTCAAGAGCAAAGTTCTCTGGTAATTGAGTGTGAGACGTCCAAGTGAGGGGAGCACATGTGTGCTTTTGAACTGCTCTAGGATGTTCAAAATGTAGAGCAGTTTTAAGGCCTTTTCATACCTGTACTGTACATTTTCTTCATTGGAAAGCCAAATAGATTTGACATCGAGAAACAATAACAGCATAATATGGTGGAGTTGAAATGCGTTTACTTTAGTGGATTGACAATAAATGTACGTACCATGACATCATTAATGTGCAGGCCCAGAGCAGATTGCAACCAACTATCAGTGAAGGGAACAGCTGGAACTCATTCATGTATGTATGCAACTGGTTCAAAATTTACAAATCGCATTACCTTCATTGCTAATTGAATGAGGATTTTGTGTGTGTCTAAATGAGCAAGTTTGTTTGTTTTCTGTGTGAACAAAATACATAAACATTTGTCTTCGAGCAAACTTGTATCCTCGATTCTGATTGGTTGATCCATGGCAACAACAGTGTGCTATGAGGCTGTTTTGCACGGTCCATATCGCACCCTGCGTACTGCGCTATTCCAAGATGCGAGCGACATTCCAGCTGCACGTGCTGACCCGCTAAATATTTTTGAGTAAAGCAAGCTAGTTCCAACTTTACTGCGCGTCAAGTTTGCTTGAAGATAAATTCGTTATCACGCTCGCGGTCGTGGAACACGGAAAATGTAGTGCGTCAGTGTCCCACATATCACGAGGCCGAATGTGGGATACAGACGCACTACATTATTCCATGTTCCACTCGCGCTCGCAAGATAACTAATAGTATTGGCACTGGAAAACCATGACATTTTCCACTTTAAAAATACTTTTTTAAGTGTCTTTGCAACAGATTTTGAGGTTTGTATTTTGGTACATGCACCTCTTAATAAGTTTGAGGATGTTTCAGGCTTTTAAACATTTTTATGAAAGTGCCAAGTTCCATATTCATAAGCAATACAGTGATGTCATGAGCTGGAACTTCAGTGTCACTGCTGTTTGACGACAAAAAGTTACAAAAGTGTTTTGGTCGAGGTTGACTATATTTAGCATGATCATAGCACAGGGTCATAATGCACAAAGTGCTATGTGTGCATGCACAATGCAAAATTTTTGTTCATAAATTACACGGAAAATCCCAAAGCTGTACAGTGTAAAATACCTATATTGACATCACAGCAACATAAGAAACAATTGTGAAAGTGCACAGGCATTGCAAAAAGTATGCAGCTGTTTACCATTACTTCATATGATTATTTTTATGTTTCAGGGAAATTCATTCCATGGCCCGTTGATGTAATAGAAAAGACCCTGAAAAATTTCAACTATGGTTGGCAATACGAACTCTTGAAAAAGTGCAAACTGTATGATTATCAATACCCAGGGTTTAGTGTTTATAGAGCAAACTCACCGCAAATTCAAAATGTCTTGGGAGGTTTTGGATCTCAATCTTGAAGATCACTGAGGTGAAGTGCTGTTGCATCAGATAGTGATAAAGATCCGTTATGGCA